CTCCGAGCCTATATTGTTCTTCTAAGCAGGTTTCTGTTTTCATTCACTTGGTTATTTTAACTTCGAATTTGTATCTTCTCTCAAGTAATACTTAAGAATTGAATAATCTATGCAGATTTTCCTAATCCTAGACCACATATTATATTTTGTTGGATTTCTTCTATATTTTTTTATACATTCATGCCGATTTTTTGTTCTACGATTCTCGAATAAAGTTCGTCTTTTGACTAACCATTGTAGACTTTGTGACAGAAACATGTCTCAACAAAACGAGAACCAAAATTCTGACACAACATACACAAAGATATTCGTGGGAGGTTTGCCTAGGGTAACAAAAGACGAAGGCTTGAAAAGTTCCTTTCAACAATTCGGAGAAATTGTCCATGTTAATGTCGTCTTCGATAAACAAACACAACGATCAAAGGGCTATGGCTTTGTTAGTAGTAAAAAATTACATTACTTTTTCTAATAATTACATTACATATATAGTTTGTAGAGTATATTTTTTCTCTAGAGATTATATTCAATCGTGTGAGTTTTTGAATTATTTTTCAGGTCACGTTTAAAGATGCTGAATCCGCTACAAGAGCCTGCTTGAATCCGAATCCAATCATTGAAGGACATATAACCAATTGCAAACTGGCTTCTGATGGTGATAACGTTAACCATAACCAATCCAACCAAACCGGTTTTCCTGACGATGATCTTTGTTGGTTATCCCAAAGTTTTCGTCTAAGCCAGCAACAACCTTCAATTCTTCATCAACCATTAACTATTGGACCTTTTTGGTATTTTTCTAAGTGCAAATTTTCTAGCCATGGTTGTTAAGGAACATGAAACTAATGTAATTTATCGGTTTTGTAATGTTCAGGTACCATTATTATCCGCAATATGTTCCACAATTTTATCCAGAGACTTACCAATATGATCCGCAATATTTTTATCCGCAATATTATCCAGAGACTTACCAATATGATCATATGGTTAATAACCAAACGGATGGAGCGTATCATTCGACGAATGCGGTCGAAGAAGAATCAAGCAGCTTAGCGGCTACAGAGATAGAGTTGAAGTTGCCTTCGACACCGAGCGCTTCGTCAACTAAACCTATAAATATGACTACTGATTCAATGTCCGATGGAAGCAGCCAGAGTTAGATGCGGAGTTTGGTGATGATTCGTATGTTATATTTTAATATATCAATGTTACTTCTAAGTTCTTGGAACCCCCAAAATTTACCATTCCAATTAATTGATCAATTAATGGATTAAACCGAACAATGTTTTCCCCTATCTTTGTTCAATTTCCCTTAACTTGCTCTGCTTTCCCATGCTTTGCTCGGTTCGCCTATTTTTGGTAAATTCAAGTGTTATCTATCTATTTATTTAAAGCTGAAATTTTAGAATTTGGGGTTTCTTCGAAAAAATCATGTAAATGGTCTTTTTTGCAAGTTTATCTTCAACTTATAAGAAAATACAAACCCTCTTTGGTAGGGAGGATTATTCTTTAAATCGGAATATCCAAAAATTGTCTCCGGGTACCGACGAGATTATGAGTCAAAGGTTCGGAACTCCCACGCTTTATCAAAAAAAAAAACTTATAAGAAAATACAACTCAAAGCTATGAAATCGTATTCAACCAGTAATATAACTCTTCGCTTTATATATCATAGATATAAGAACGTGTATCTTTTTTACACTTCCTAAAACTCTCGTCTATGCTTCTCCGTGACCACACAAAACTGCGAGAACAAATTTACACACGTATAACCATTTATGTCAAAAAAATTATAATATTTGCGTTGTTCTTCCATCTGAGCATCCATCAATGTAGATTTTTATTCGAAGTACTATATGTAGCTCTTTAGAAAGCTCATGAAAATTGAAATATAATGATATTAACTGTTGGCATCGGATTCTGTATAAAGAGATTTAACCCAGCAACCCGAGATCCAGTTCCAGAGATAGCCAAATTTCATTTATAAGAGTCCAACTCGCGAACAAGCGAATAATGGGCCTTTTGTTAACAGAACTTGAAACCGGTTTTATCTTTATCCACGAGGTCTTGAATATGGGCTGCGACTTGACGAGTAGAATTGGGCCCTAGATTGGAAGAGGTCCGCGAGGTCCACGGGATGAAAAGATAGGAAGTTTGTTTTACATTTAAATCTTGTAACGTCTAAGTCAAAAAGGAGTTGAGAGAATTGAATAGATTGTAATGTGGGAACGCGATTGTGGCATCTTGTAAGAAGTATATAAAATAAGACTAGAGAGAAGGAACATTCTGAAATCTCTAGCAAAATACGCAATAAACTTGTTTCTTTTTTTACTTAGCCGTTTTTCTTACGTTACATTTTTTCGTCAACTAGTTCATTTCGCGAACTAGTTTTCTCGATCAACCTGTTATTCGAATCAACTCGATGTTCTGATAACGTGTTGATTCCAGATTATCATCTCTCATCGTGGCAGCTCGCTCTGACAACTCCTTGATCGCCGACTGATATCTCTCATCATGCTATCTCATTTTGATTACACCTTGAACTTGATTAACAAATCTCATCTAGTGTTCTCGCTCCGATTCTCTATATTTTGGTGTGATCTGAATCGTACCAGATACATGACTCACATTAAGTTTGCATCGTCTTTGTTGATTTAAGATTTCAATTTCAGTTTAACATGGTTTTATTGCCGGGGAGTACTAACATGATTGAAATTCAAGTTTTTTTGGTATGTGTTAATCTAAATACATATTATTGTCTGCAGAACAAAAGGGAAAGGGACGGAGCCTAAGAAAGTGAAGCCTAAGAGGGGAATATTTAGAATCTGGAAGTATTTTGGTAATTAAGACTTTCTGTGATCGTTTTGTGAATCATGCAAGTCATTCAGTATTAGAAAAACACATTGAGGGGAGTATTTACAATTTGGAATCTGAAAGTATTTTGGCAATTAAAACTTTATGTGATCGTTTTGTGAATCTTGCAAGTCACTCTGTATTAGAAAAAACACATTGAGGGGAGTATTTAGAATCTGGAAGTATTTTGGTAATTAAAACTTTATGTGATCGTTTTGTGAATTCAGTTAGTCACTTGGTATTAGAAAAACACATTGAGGGGAGTATTTAAAATCTAGAATCTGGAAGTATTTTGATAATTAAAACTTTCTGTGATCGTTTTGTGAATTCAGCAACTCACTCAGTATTAAAAAAACACATTGAGGAGATTATTTAGAATATGGAATCTGGAAGTATTTTGGTAATTAAAACTTTATGTTATCGTTTTGTGAATTCAGCAACTCACTCGGTATTAGAAAAACACATTTCTTTTCTAATTAATCGGAAAATATTACCCACAATATTAATTCAACTATAAGAATATTCTCAAAATACATATTCCATTATATGATTTATGTTCATGTTTTATGTTGGATTTAAATTTTTGTCGATGTTTTGGCTAATGAAATTTTGCTTTTTTTGTTTAATATTTTGGATACAAGACGTCGGAGAGAGATATCAAAAAGGTTAGTTTTGATGGACAAGAGATAAAGAGGAACCAGATGATAAAGCATAGATTCCTAAAAAAAAAAAAAAATTTCGTGTGAGGGGAAAAGGTGAGTTTTGTCTCTAGAGTAAAACGTTGTTTCGATACATCCATTTATTTATTTTAGAAGATAATCACGATATCTATGAATATATTTGAAATTGGAGATATATATATCTTATCGTAATCTACAACACCATCCCTATATATAATGATTTAGTTTTGTTTAATCAACTTTTATTCTTAGCTTTTGTATACTATATTAGAGGTTTAATTTTTTTATCACAATAATTTAATGTTGTCTTTAAATAAATTTTTTCTTTTATTCGGATATGTTTATATTGATTTTTAATGTTATTTTTAAATAAATTATTTTTATCGGATAGATTCGAAAATGTTTTATATGATTTTATCATGGATATATATACATAAATAGAATGTGATAATATAAAGCATATTTCGTTGTTATCCATTCTTTCACCAATTCCTATGTATACCTTCCTCTTTCTTTTGTTATTAAACAAATCATCGTCTTTCTCTCTTTTTTTCATATATTCTTCTT